AAAAGGGGGAAAAGAAAACAAAACAAATTAAAAAAAAAAAGAACAAGAAAGGCCCCCCCAAAAAACAGAAAAAAAAAAAAAACCCAACAAAAAAAGAAATGTCCTCAGGGATCCCTCTGCACGTCTGTAGAAGCTGAAGTGGTGGGGGGGGTTCCGTGCCACGCAGCTCTGCCTGGCCAGAAAGGGCTCCCAACTCAAGAAAAGGAAAAGAAAACAAACGAAGAATTCAAAACGAACAAATGAAAAAAAGCCCCGGGATCCCAGCAGCACAGTAGCCCAGACTGGAAAGCGGCTCCACACTCGAATGGCGCTCCACAGCCCTTCAGGAAGAAGCAAAGATGGCGCACGGAGCCTGGCCCTCGAGCAAAAGGAGGGGGAGGCGGCGAGAGGCAAGTGAGAAATCAACAGAAGCAGAAAAAAAAAAAGCAACACCAGCAGCCAACAAATGGCACTCAGAGAGCCAGCTAGTGCAGGCTGGTGTTTCTGGACAGGAGACCGTGTCCGCGGAAAGCAGAGGAGGCTGAGTGTGGGTGAAGAAGGGTAGAGAGTGGGAAAGTGTATATGCCAAATTGCCGGCGCTCTGCAGCCCCTCAGGAAGAAGCAAAGATGGTGCATGGAGCCAGGCACTTGAGTGAAAGGAGGGGTAGGTGGCGAGAGGCAAGTGAGAAATCAACAGAAGCAGAAAAAAAAAAGCAACACTAGCAGCCAACAAATGGCACTCAGAGAGGCAGCTAGCACGGGCTGGTGTTTCTAGACAAAAGGCTGTGTCTGCGGGAAGCGGAGGGGGCCGAGTATGGGTGAAGAAGGGTAGAGAGTGGGAAAGCGTATATCCCAAATTGCCGGTGCTCTGCAGCCCCTCAGGAAGAAGCAAAGATGGCGCACAGAGCGAGGCACTTGAGTGAAAGGAGGGGGAGATGGCGAGAGGCAAGGAAGAAATCAAAAGAAGCAGAAAAAAACAACACCAGCAGCCAACAAATGGCACCCAGAGAGCCGCCCGCTTGGGTGTGTGGAATCCAAGCAGCCGGCGCTTCCCGGTCAAGAGACTGTGGCCGCGGGAAGCAGAGGAGGCCAAGCTGGGGTGAAGAGGTGTGGGTGGTGGGAAAGCGCACACCGCAAATTATTGGTTGTTTTGTCTCCCGCTGGATGCTCCGTGAGGCTGCTTTCTCGTACCCCCGTTTGCTGGTCTCCGATAGGAGTCCAATATGGTGGATCTGTGCTGCGTTAGCTAGTAGGGGACCTCTGCATGAAACTCTTCTCGCTCTCTGTTCTCTGTCAGTTTTCTCACTCCATTTGGTGCTTGGCTGAGTGCTTTATCTCTTCATTTGGTGTTTTAGGGTTTCAGGATTGTTGTATTCTCTGTTCGGCTTAGTTTTTCGGATCTTTGCTGTGGAGGGATGGCGTGGTGCTTCTACCTAGAGTGCCATTTTTCCCAGTTCTAAATATTCTGATGAGGAAAATGTTACTTTGATCTACTGCCTACATCTACAGCAACAATCTCCAGGTTGCTGCTCGAATGGCCTTGTAAACCCAAAGGTATAAAGTGAGGGCCAATATCATAGCATTTTGGAGAGGGAGGAATTCTCTTCCTTGCTTAAAGTGAACTGAAAAGAGGACACTTCCTTGCTGTGGCTCAGGGCTAAGTGAGAAGAGGAGAGGCCAGCTCAGAATGCTTTTCTGTTAGGCTGTGCTTGCTCAGGCTGGCCTGGAGTGTGTACTTCATCTTATGCTCAATATAACAAAACATTTCCATGTGGAAAAGGTACTCTTGGGGTGAAAAACCAAAACATGAGGATCCAGAAAGTCAGTCTTTCTTCTGTGGTGAAGAGGCAGCTGTCCCATCACCACCAGATGCTGGCACATACACCTACTTTCCAGGCCGCCAGTGGGTGAGCCACGTCTCCGTTTGTCCCAATCAGTGAGAAGCCAGCTAAGAGAAGGCTGATGGGGGCCGCTGCAGGGAGCTCTGTCCCAGCTCTTTCTTCAATGCCTAATGATCCTGGAATTCTGGCCAACCCACTCTGCTACCTTCTTGCTCCTCTTTCAAAGAAGGTGATGAACTCTTAAGACACATAATGCAGAATTTTGGAGTCAGAGAAGGCTGGGAAGCTGATTAGGTACCATGCTCATCTTTGGGTAAGGCTAAGCAAATGAAATCTCTAATTCTGAAAGCGCTTCAGCAGAGCGGGTTCAGCCATTTTGTCATTAGGAGATATTTCCTTACACGTCCACACTCGCCCTGTCCTGCACAGTAAGCCTGCTTCCTCTTACTCTCTTTTCAGTGAGGAGAGACAGCAGCATCAGAGTCCTTCACATAATGGAAGCATTTAAACGACTCCTTGGTCTGAAAAAATTCCCAATTCTTTCTTTGTATTTAATCTTTCATTGTAAATTTTACATTTCAGGATCAGTTTCCTGTTTATTTTCATGAAATCCTTCAAATCTCCCCCAGCCACTCCTCAACAAGCAGATAAGATGTATTTTAGTAATACCAAGTAGTTTCCATAGTAGCAAGACCTCTGTACTCCTTTCTTCCTCCTCCATATTTAGAAAAAAAAACACAGAGGGTAGGTCATCCTATAGGTCATCTGCTAGGCAATCCTTTCCCCTATGAACAAGGCTTTAAGAGGCTTCCTGAAGACCAAAATGTTGCTCACATTCTCCCTGAAATTCAATTACTACAATTCAATCTTTAGAATTAGGAACCTCTTGAAAGGTTGGCAGATAAAGTACATCCAGAGGCAGCTCGGAAGGAAGGCCTGGAGATCTACTTCTAAAAGATAACAGCCATTGAAAACCCTATGGAGTGCAGTTCTACTCTGAAACACATGGGGTTCCCATGAACTATAATCGACTCAAGGGCAACTGGTTTGGTCTTTCACATTCAGTTGTCCCTGGAATGACTAATATATTGACCTGGAATGTCATTTATACTATAATGTGAATCTGTTAACTTATTAGCAGAATCCTTTTGAGAGCAGAGTATAATTAATGAGAGGGAGGAAGAAGAGACTGGTGTTCTATTATGGAGAAGAAGAGGGTTTACAAGGTAGACTGGGAGACTCACAAGGACTTATAAGCATTTAATTCCTGGAGAGATAAGCTGCCAGGGGATGGGAGAGGAGAGCAGAAGTGGCAGAAAATATAAGTGGAGAGATAGTAGAGCGGGGAGCATTGTGAGGAGGGGTGGGACCTGAAATGACATCTTAGTCTTTGAGGTCCTCACTATTTGCCTTAACCCATTTATTCAGTAAGCATGGGCTGGGCAACGTACAAGGAAGGGGTTGGGAAGTTGGTGAATAAGCTTTCTGCTGTTACCACACAGTATCTTAAACCAATTCTATCATTAACTTATCGAGGGCAGCAATCAACTCTTACTCATAGAATTCTTAGCACATTCAGATACTCATAACTATTACATGCCACTAGCTTTGTGGGGAGATGAAACAGATCAGTTTTCTGTGGCTGCCTTCAGAGGGGAGGTCCAGCTTGGCCTGGGATGCCCAGTAATCTGCTCAGAGCTGATTTAGATGGAACATTTATCTAATTCATTAGATTGCATATGGGCATGGCTGATCTAATTCTCATCTTCCCACTCCAGATCAGCTTCTTGAATTCTCGTCCTCCAACAGCTTGTTAATCAATTGGCAAAAGGCTTGTGCCTGAGGGGAGTACCCTTAGCTTCAGTTGTTCTCACTGTCAGTAGAAACTGGTGTGTTTTGCTAAGTATCCATACTAGAAAGACTTGGGTTCTTGCCTTTCCTAAATTAACGATGTCAGAAGAAGTTCATTTCCAAAAAGAAACACACAATGCTTGAAAGCGGGCAAAATTGAAGACCTATATCTTTGACCCGTCTCACCTTTTTAGCAATATGATTCGTGGGCGCCTGGCAATTATTTAGCCTTGCCTCCCCAACTCCCACCTCTATAAGTCGCTAACTCAGTCCTCTGCCAGCATAAAAGCTTCTGACTTTACCAGGCCCTTGTACACAGTCATGACCAGCATGAGAGTGACTGTCCTGGAGAGCAGTCAGGATTAACAAAGCCACCACACACAGGCCCTGTCACCATCTGCAGCCACGCCTGCCGGCTGAAAGAGGGATATTCCAGTCTTACCTCGTTCCCTATTGAGGGCTTTGCTCTCAAACTGACCACTCCCATTTACAGTCCCAAAGCTGAAAATTCTTAGAAACTGCATTAAAAATGTAAGAGGAGACAAACCTCTATTTCCTTGACATTCTTTGCAGACAATATGAGGATGATACCCAGGCCAAGGCATACTAATCCTACGGCAAAAAAGGCAGAGAGGACACCAGGGACCCAGAGATGCAGCCGGCAGGCGGGCAACTGTTGCTGCTTCACAGCAGTGTTGTCTGGCAACCTGGACAGGCCATCCTGGGGTCTCATCTCCATTCTGGTCCTGTAGGTGACTAAAAAGATGCACCTTTGGGACATGCAGAACATTACTACTTATAGTAATACCACATAATGTTCATATTAAAATTATTAAAAATTACACGAACCTTCCTTTGCAGTTGCAAAGTCTTTCTGCTTCCTGGAATTATTTATTAACCAGATCTGGTGTTCAGCTCGAGCACAGCCCTCTTCAATCAGCCATTTCTAGGTATATTTTCCTTAGGCTCAAAAAGACTGTTTTGCTAAAATGCCATGCCTTGGAGGAAAAGTCCCTGGCAAGGCCTGTAAAAACCTATGCCTGGTGACACTGGGAAGCAGTTACAATGGACTATTTCTGGGATATGGTGACCAATTCAAGGCAAGCCCTTCCTGAAAGGGGGAAAGTGGGTATATCTTTAAGAATTTGCCTAAATCCTTGGAGAGTCATTCAAAAGAAAAAAAAAAAGAAAAAAAAAGTGGGCTGTTAGCTTTTTCTTCTGAATGTGGCTGCTGTCTAACATGAATACAGGCTACGCTGGAAGAATACTCTAAGATTACAACTCACTTGGCTATGTGTGGTGATGAGGAAGGAAGAAGCAAACAGGGAACCGCAGAACACAGATGTCTAATCTCAGCAGCTTCTAATTTGTCATCCAGAAGACTAGCAGAACATGTAGAATAAAACCCTGTCTTCCTAACCTTTCCCCAAGGAAAGTATCCCAAAGGAGACAAGAGAAAGGCAGGGGAAGATAGATTGATCAGATGGTCTACAATGAAACACAGTAATATTGGTTTGATTTGGGGTTTTTCAGGTGTCAGAAATCCACTAACAACATTTTCATCAAGCTATTCATAATTACTTCCTCTTTGTTAAGAACTGGCATTTAGGAAGTAGAACCAGGACTTTCTGAATAAGGCAGCATGTTGGTTTCCAAGCTTCCCTTATTATTAACGTCAGGTAGAGAAGCCACACTGGACTACTCACGTAAGGCAATGACTTCGGCAAATGCACCTAGTTTTAAAAAATAGAAAATAGATGCAAATACTTACAGGAGGTTTCTGTTTCAAAGTCAAAGATGCTCACTTGCAAAATAGAAGAAAAGGCAAAACATGCAAAATGGAAGAAAAGGCAAAATATCAACAGGCAATGTTCAGCATGCCATTTGAATCTGGCTTGGAGGTGGTGACTAGCGTGGCTGTTGGTGCTTGGCAGCCTTGAATGAGAAGGCAGCAAACACTTCTATTCATGTCTATTATTTGTTTTACTAAATAAATATGGGCAAGAGCTTGGGTATAAAAGGCAGTGACAGGCTATGAGATTAGACTACATGTGCAGGATTGGCCTACAAAACATGAAGTGTGTTTGTGATCTGGGTATTTTTTCCAACATTGGGTAAGGTTACCATGTACTAGACAGATGACACCTAGCCGAAGGGTCATTCCAATAATACCAATAAGAACAACAGTATTTCCTAGGCTTTTTGTAAAACAATAAAACCAAACTAACCACAATTCTAAACTAAAATGATCTTCACAGGTAGTAAGTAAAAACATTTCTGGGAAACATTCTTGAGAGATAGCCACATACTAAGCATCTTAAAGGTGTTTTTATATTTACCCTATTTCTCTTCCAACTAAATCTACTTCAAGCATGCAAATATAACTTCATACACTCTGCTTTTCAGTATTTCTAGAACAGGGTTTCTCAACCTCAGCTCTATTGACATTTTGGGTCTGGTAATTCCTTCTTGTTGGGGGTTGTCCTATAGGACTGTAAGATGTTTAGTAGGATCCTAGCCTCCACTCACTAGATGCAAGTAGCAACCTGCTGACTACATGCCAGTAGTAGCCCTCCAGCATGGCATCCAAACATGTCTCCAGATGTTGCAGAAGTCCCTTGGGGAGCAATTCGCCCCTCTATGCTCCTTGCGGGCACCCCCTCCCGTTGAGAACCACTGTTCCAGACTGATACTGATATGACTGTTTGTTAGCATTTAGCAGCTGTTGTGTCATGAGATCAACAGAAATTTCTGAGAGGGTTTTTTTAAGTCCTCGTCTTCATTTCTCTTTACTCACTGTGTAGATAGCCTCCTCAGGAATTACCAGACATTTTGGATATATGGGATGGTCTCATGTTTCACTACCTCTATTAACTGCTGGGGTGCACAAGTGCTAAATGGGTATCAAATAAGGGAGTGGTTATGTACGTGCAGGTACACTCACACGCATACATAGTTCTATACACATAATGCTTATCATGTTCTCATTTTTTGGTTTTGCAAGTCAATAGCAGCTTGGTGGGTGGGTCTGAATTCTGACAGCACTGACTGTAATGCCTCGATTTGGAAATCTGTCCTCTTACACAATCGTGCTTGATGGTTTTCCAGATTAACCGAAAACATGTCACTTGACGGAAAGTTAAATGCCTGTATTTGGGAGGTATGTGATCCATTTTCTTTCTTACCATTGGCCAAGAATATTTCACATATTAAGGATAAAGTCTGGCTATAACTTGAATAAAATTTCATTTTGTATTGGTGTTATGGATTGAATTGTGTCCCCCCAAAAGTTATGTTGAAACCCTAACCCCTGTACCTAGGAATGTGATCTTGTTTGGAAATAGGGTTTTCTTTTGCTATACTCATGAGGCCACAGCAGAGTAGGGTAGGTCCTGAACCTCATCACTTCTCAGTGGGGTCTTACAGAAAAAGCAGAATAGATACAGACACACATGGGGAGGACAGATGCCACATGAGGATTGTCTGTAAGCAAAGTTAGCCTAGGGTCGCTGGCAGTACCAGAAACTAGGAGAGGGACCCTCAGAGAGACTTGACATGGCTGAGACCCTAATTTTGACTTTTAGCCCCTAGAACTTTGAGAAAATAGATATCTGTTCTTTAAAGCCACCCATTTGTGGTATCTTTCATTACAGCAGCACTAGGTAACTACGGCAAGTGGGTTGGTTTGTTTTTTCTCCTCTAACTTGTTGGGTTCAAGTCAGGGTCCTGGAGAACAGAACCCACTCCTCTTTCCTCAGCAAGCCCCTCTGTGTGGCCTCCAGCCCTCAGGGTGCACCAGCGCAAGGCAAGGCCCTGGTGCGCAGGAGCGTGCGATTGGCTGGAGTTTGATTTGCTAGCCTGCCAGGCTTGTTTTAAGTTCTGCAATCAAGATTTGAATGTGTAATTTTACTTACCAGTATTGGCATCTGTTTGCTTTATAACCTCTTGTTTGCTGTACACGTCTGAGTCCCCAAACAGGCGACTGTGGGGTCCTGAAGGGAACATGGGAGGCCTAGGTTTGAAGGAGGCCTGCTACTTAAACTAGTGTGTGTCCTCTGAGATTCAGCTGCATCGTCTGCAAAATGTGGGTAATGATACTTTTCCTACAGGACTATCTCAAGGATGAAATGCGATAAGACTATGGAAGTGAGAACCCTAAGCAGTGAATGGCACACAGTGGGTAACTGACAAATGTTATTTAAACAAGTAAAAATGGAAGTAAATTTGAGCAATAAAATAAAAACCAATAGTGTTGGATTGTAACACATAGAATAAAATATCTATGAGTCCATACTTACGTAAATGAGTAACTGAATAAACAAATAAGTGGGGGAAAGGGACAGCTGTTTCCTACAGAAGAATTCCTACTAACAAGTGTAGAAGGAATAACAGAAATAGAAAAATCACCACAGTAATAACTAATTCAGGCAAGATCCACTCATGGTTGCTAAAATCAGTGGGTGAAAATTTGAGGAGAAGCAGGTTATCTCCATAGCCTAAGGTGTCTCCCCTGTATTAGTTTCCTAGGGCTGTAGCCACAAGGACCACAAATCAGGTGACGTAAAACAGCAGAAATGTATTCTTTCACAGTTCTGGAGGCAAGAAGTCTGAAGTCAGAGTGTCAGCAGCGTTCATTCCTTCTGAGGCTCTGAGGGAGTCTGTTTGTGCCTCTCTCCTAGCTTCTGAGAGCCTCAGGCACTTCTGGCTTGTAGATGCATCTTTCCAATCTCTGCCTCTTTCTTCACACGGCTTACCCGTGTGTCTGTCTGCCTGTCTCTTCTTGTTTTCTTATAAGGGCACCAATCATGTTGGATTAGGGTCTGTCCTAGTGGCCTTGTCTTAACTTTACATTCGTAAAGACCGTGTTCACAGGTGTTGGAAATTAGGACTTCAACATCTTTTCTGGGGACACAATTCAACCCATAACATACCCCAAGATAGTTATTTATTCTAAAGGGAAAAACAGTGACTTTACAGTGGAGAATCCTGGCAGATACCACCTTAACCAAGTCATCAAGGTGGACATAACCAATAATAAGACATAACATTAATTTTTACCCCTGGATATGATGCATCAAGAAGGACATAGCTCTTCTGTGGTATTTTGGCCAAATATGCATAACCTCAATCTATCATGAAAACAATAGGCAAACCCAAATTGAGAAACATTCTACAAAATACCCTTCAAAAGTGTCAAGGTCATGAAAGACAAGGAAACACTGAGGAACTGGCATTGATTTGAGAAAACTAAGGAGGTACGTGGTATCCTGGATTGGATCCTGAATAGAAAAAGACATCAGTGGACAAACAGGTGAAATACAAATAAAGTCTGTAGTTTAGTTAATCGCATTGTACCAATGTTGATTTCGTAGTTTTGATAACTGTACTATGGTTATGTAAGATGTTAACATTGGGGGAAGCTAGGTGAAAGCTGTATGGGAATTTTTTGTACTATTTTTGCAACTGTCCTTCAAGTCTAAAATTATTGCAAAATATAAAAGTTTAAAAAAGCAAACGAGTAAGAGAGCTATAGTTACATTGTTTTCTTTTACACACTTAAAATGTATCTCTTACACTTGTAAGTCTTTATACCGCTACCACTGCTACCTTTCAGCCAAGACCATGCTTCACAGATTACAAAGCTGTTCCACATGTACCATCTCATGGAATCCTCAGCAGTCCCATGAGAGATCACTCCCATTTCACAGCTGATGAAATTGAGGCTTAGAGAGGTAAGGGACTTGCCTAAGGTCGCCCTGCTGCCCTTTCCCTTCTGCACAATCACATCAGAGGCCAGTCAGTGAGAAAAAGACTTAGTCTGCTGAACAAAAATCACACCCACCTCTGATACTTTATTATGCAAGGAAGGGCGTTGGCAAAAAGACAGACTGATTTCGGTCAAAGAATCCTCAAAGTCAGACATTCTCAGTGATCCATCTGGTGATGCAGTTAATAAAATGATAGCTGATATTTAGAGAGCGAGCCCAATGTGCCAGGGTCATTAAATAGAGATGTAAATTCCACCGTGAAAAATGGGATCTTCATTTGGACCCAAACTTAGAAAAGGCCCAGCTTCAAAGATTCTGATTTGCACAGACTGAGTACTCCCATTTCCAGAAGTTCAAAAACCTCCTTTCTTATCTAAATGAGGAAAAAACAAACAAACAAACAAACAAAAAAAGGTTAAGATCAAGAAAAGATGGCCTTGGCAAATAAATTCAACACTTTGGACTCCTTGGCATTTATGCAGCTATTATGGCCAGAATCAAGGAGAGTAAAAGTCCCAAATCACATCTGATTCTGAGGTAGGAGATTTATATAAGTAAAGGAAGAGGTACTGTATAAAACATCCGTTTCATTAAAGTGCCCTTTTGTTTGCAGTCATCAAAAATACAACCTCTACAGAAGTGTTTTCAAGGTACCTGAAGTATGCCTTCTATAATCTAGATTATACACAATATTTCAATGTAGTATTTTATAGCTTTTTGATGAGTGCTAATAATGATCTCAACATAATGAAAATAACTATGGCTGACAAACGAGTTTTTTAGGGGCTGTTTCTACCTCTTATTGTAATTAGAAAACTAATGGTAGATTACTCAGATTTAACAGTGTAGCAAACCACCAAGTATAGCCTCATCTACCTAACATCAAATTGGTTAAACCAGTTTAAAAAACCAACCAATTCAGGAGACAGGGTCTATGTTTGTATACATGTGTGTAGGGAACTAAGCAAATTGTTTTTAAACCTGAACTGATGTCTGATATTCCTCCCTGTTCAATTATAGTCAGGTTGGTCATCCTGAGGATGTATAGTTTTATATGGCAAATTAATTCATTCAGCATGTTTGAAGCAGTATTTCCAAGCCTCTTTGATAGTTACTGCCATTATTTATTCTGGGTTGGTGATTGGCAGCCATGTTTATTACCGTGCAAACTCTTTTCTGTCCAACAACTAAATTGGAAAATTAGCTCCGTGGTAACACCAAACCAACAAAACCTATTGCTGTCGAGAGGATTCTGACTCATAATGACACTATACTACGGTGGGGGTCCAATCAGTTTTTCACATTATATAATAGATTGCTTTCATATATATAATACAATCTAATACTGTGCCCACAAAGGCATTTAATCATTCAATTTTAATTCATTGAGACACCAAAAAATTTCCCCACCTCATAAAACCAAAATAGCCCTCTAAATTAAGTAAGTAGGTTTTGGGGGATGTGGAGATGTGGGCCATTAATGAGGTGAGTTTGTGTCTTCCCCAAGAGTGCATGTGTAAGGATGAAAGGCAAAGAGGCTTGTGTCTGTAAAGAAAGGCACAGGGAAATGTACCAGGGCCTTAAGATCTTCCTACTTCTCAAAGGTAAAGTATAGCTGTGATCTGTAGTGAGGCAGAGGCCATTGGTCATTCATTTAATAAAGAAACACAGCCAGTTCCTATAAAACACATGGAAAGAATACAGAGTTATGTGTAAGGGGTTGAGGTGGCCTCCATAATTGTAGTTACCTCGGAGTTAAGATAGACATCATTTCAAAAGCCAGAATGTGCTGGCTCCCCATGTCAAAGGCTTTATTACTGTGTTTGAACTCAAGTTCAAATAGAAAAAAAAAAACAAAAAACAATGATTAAAGGCAATTGCTGGTTACACTGTACCTCGGGAATGTCCACCAGTCTCCTCAACTTCTGATCTCTCCAGTTCCAGTCAAAAACCAGAAACTTTAAGGGGTTCAAATTAAGGGCACCTGAAAGAGACAAGGAGGGAGCTGCTGCAGGAAAGGCCTCATGACATAAGCTTATTAAAAGGATTTTCTATTCTCCTGGTTGCTTTTTGCCTCACTCGCTGTACTCTCCCCTGGCAACTAATCTCTGCACATGAAGTGCTGCCTGTGCCTGATGAAAACAAATGCAGCACTCGAAGACTTGCTGTCCTTATAATCTTATCAGTGATTCTGAGGAAAGCAGAGAAATTGCTCTTGCTAAGCTCATCAAACACTTATGTGCTGGCAAAGAATCAATCCCCAGTCTCCATTGCATGAAGCCCCAGAGGGTGAAGTCTTGTTTCTGACAGTGATTTGATGAGAATATCCTGCATTCTGGGTGGTGGCCTTCAGAGGGGTCGAGTCCAGTGGAGTCTGCATGATTCTGAGGAGATGAGTGGGCAAAAGGATGAGGACAGAACTGAGTGGATAATTTTAAGCAGAAAAGGAAGTTAGGATGAATGGGTTCTATTCAAAGTCAGCAATCCTTGATGAGACTGGTCAATCAATTAAGGACTCTATCTCCTCTGTTTTCCCATCTATCTAGAAGATAAACAATTGTGGACTGTGAGGGCTGGGGTGGGGGGGACCTCAGAGATTGTCTAGTCCTCAGAGGACTTAAGTTTTTCCATTCTCTATGTTCCTCCCCCTGCCCCAGTCACCCCCATGTCACGCATGGAAACAGTATCGAAGTTTTCCTTTACCCTGCAGAAATTTCCCTCCGTTTTTCTCTGTGGTTATTTCACTATTTTCCTCTCTGCCCAAAATACTTTTTCATGCTTTTTACAAATTATGATGTCTCTTATTTTAAACTCTGTCTTCAAAATTAAAATAAAAATGATAAATTGAGAAAGACAATGGTTTGAGAGTCTTCCCTTGAAAAGTAATGTACTGCTGGTGAACGGCAAATAGGTACCCCTTCTCTGGAAGGCAATTGGGCATGCTATAAAAAGAGCTTTAAAAGCTTATTACTTGATAAAATAATTTTCCTTCTATGATAGAGCCAATAAAAACAACAGATGCAAAGATGATCATTCATAATAGCAAAAGATTGAAATAACCTGAATATCCTACTATAACAGAAATTGTATATACTTTTCTATAGAATATTATGTAGCCATTACAAATGAAAATGAAAATTATATTTCATAACAAGGAAAGTTCTCATGAGATATATTCAGTGAAAAAAAAGTAGGTTATAAAGTTCAAACATGCAGTATGATCTCCATTTTATAAAAATGCATAGAAAAAAGACTAAAGGAAATATATTCAAATATTAACTAACAAGACATTATCTCTAAAGTGATGTTTATTTTCTTCTCTGTATATTTTTGCATTTTTCAAAGGCTTTTATAGTCAGAGAATACTCTTCATTACTATATTAAAACAACACAATTCTGCCTATAAGAGTACAGATTCCAATGTCATGGATATCTTTGCATGTCTATAAACTCTCCTTCATTGGCCTATATCAAATATATAAACATCTTGTTAAGCAAAAAACAGCTACATAAAACGAGTTATGTGCTGTTGATCTGTTTTTGTTAGCTTTTCAGTTTCTAGAGTTCTGGGACTGTTCTCTTTGTATGTAGCCTAACACCTGTGACATACGTGGTTAATGAAAATTAAACCATTCGTCAATCTGAATCAGAAAATAACAGTTATTTTAACTGGTATCATAAAAATCAACAGCTCTTTAAGTGATTTTCCCACATGAAATAAGCCTTCACATGGAGTTCTCACAACTCTGTGGAAATATAATTTCAACATTCTAGACATTTTCGTTTCCTCTTTCCCTCGCTCTCTTTTAAATAAAAAGAGGAGTGGCCTTGTGGCCAGGGATCTGGTGACACAAAAAACATCTGGATTCCAGGAAGGTGAGAGGTGACTCCTTTGGCTAAGAGCTGTGGGGGAGGCAGGATGAAGCTCACAGTCCATCCCTGGCCTCCTGAGTGCCCAGTGTCTCCCAACTCTGTGTCTTACAGAAGGATGATGAGTTCCTTTTATCTGTTCCTTAACTTTCAGTGTCCTCCTGTGCCTGTGGGACAGAATTCAAACTCCTCAGCTTAATATTCAAGGTCCTCCCTCGACAACCTCACTTTCTTTCCAATTGAATCACCTGCTACTACAGCCCACGGAATCTCCAAGCCAAAAAGGTGGTCTCTTTAATAAAAATAATAACTAGTATTTGTTGAGTGCTTAGTGTGTGCCACTCATTGTGCTGAGCGCTTTATGGGCATTTTATTTTCACGACAATCCTATGAGCCAGGTACTAATAACCCTGTTTTTCAGGTACAGAAACAGGCTTAAAAAGGTTAAGTAACTTGCCAAGGTCACACAGCTGGTAAGTTGCTGAATCTGGGATTTGAATCCATAAGTTTGAATCCATAATAGGGGCTCCCTAACCTCAACACCATAATGTCTACTCATCGTCTAGTCTCGATAAACCACGTGTATCTGTTTGCCCCTTTCTGACTGGCTGGTACGCCTATTCCTGAATGCTTTCCTCAAATTGCCCTACCTATTTTAATCCTCCCCAAAACATCAAAGATCATTTAAAGATCTTTTCCTCTGTAAAGCCTTTCCTTCAGAGTCCAGCCCCCATAAAAATCTCTCTCTCATTTCCACTCTTTTAGGTTTTACAAGGGGTCCCTGGGTGGCGTAAATGTTTAAGCGCATGACTACTAGCCTAAAAGCTGGTGGTTCGCACCCACCCAGTGACACCTTGGAAGACAGGCCTGGCGATCTGCTTCTGAAAGGTCACAGCCTCGAAAATCCTATGGAGCAGTTTTACTCTGCACATATGGGGTCGTATGAGTTGAAATTCACTTGATGGCAACTAACAACAACAGGTTTTCTAATCAGAAGCACTCATTCAGCCGTCGGCATTCCTGCTTCATGTGCATTTATCTCCTTGGCTGGATCAGGAGCTCCTTGCGGGAAAACAAAGGTTCTGGAGCAGAAAGGCCTGGCCTGAGAGACCTGGGGGGCGTTACTTTCCCCTTCTCAGCTTCTGTTTTCTCTCCTAAGAATGTCAACCCTCAAGGTTGCTGTGGGTTCTAAATGAGGTGACACATGGAAATGTGTATACACCATAGCACTCTGTGCAGGCAGGGACTCAAAATGTGTGTTTCCTTTCCTTGTCTGGGGCCAAGCCTGTTACTTCATTGCATTTTCTTCATCTGTGCAGATAGTGGGTTCAATTAATTCTGGATGATTTTCATCTGGAGAGAAACGGCAGTGTTTTTAGCTTTAGTCTGCTTCCTGGCACATGACCATGTGTATATACTCATTTGCTATATTGATGAACACAGTTTCAGGTGTATTAAAAAATCCAGGCATAACTGCAGACAATTATATAAAAGTTCTATTACTGTATTAAACAAGTAATTTGGAAATGAGTATTGAAAATGAAATCTTTAAATTTGTCTGGTAGGTAGAACAGGTAATAAGACCATCAGCAGACTAGCAGGTTGTTAGGCTACTGGCTTTGAATAAGTCAATTAAGATATAAAAATCACTAGTGGATGTTGTCTGGAGTACTTTCTGGGTAAAGCATTAAATGAGAAATGTTTTGGAGAAATATTCCCAAATACCTGCATTTCATTCATAGGAACTGCATTTTTGTTCCAATGTGTTTTATATACCAGCCCTCAACCAGAATGTGAGTCTTGGGGAATCAAGACTCAATGAAGCGGGAGGGGAAAGCTGACCACATGTCGCTCTACAAAATCCAGAGGTTGCAAATTGGTAGAGTGAAGTCTGTGTGGATCCACTAACCTGCTTAAAGGAATTGGAATGTGAATGTACTTAGGTAGGCATATGTACTTCAATTTGCCTCAGTCCTTACCATTTCTGCTGGCTGATTTTGGAGACTAACAGCTGAATTTCCAGCTCTTAAATTAGCCAGAGCTTGGAACTGGTTCTTCCAGTTTGAACCCCTGCTGAGAATTTAAATTTCTAACAAGTTCCCAGGAAGTTATACATAAGAATCACTTGGGGATCTTATCAAAAGGTAGATTCTGATTCAGTATATCTGGGGTGGAAACGCAAATTCTCCGCAGGGAGCTTGTTAGGAATGCAAGTTCTCAGCAAGGGTTTGAACTGGATGAACTGGTTTGAAGCCCTGGAATTAACTCAGAAGTCTGGTTTTATTAATCACAAGTGCAGTTTCCTAAAACTCATGTGGGAGTAAGGCAAACTCCCAGCTCTGGGTAGGAGTCTCTTTTCATACCTTGTTTAACGAGGTCTTTGATCCTCCCTGGAGTTCCTACGCCCAGGTGAACCACACGCTTCTCCAGCAACTTTACCTGCTCCTGGATCTATTCAAAGATGGAAGAGAAAGAAAAGGAGGAGTCATTAGAAGGTGCAATCATAGGTCAATTTAGAGCATTGTATCTCAAAGTGAAAAAGGTAAAAAGAAAGTGGGGGCTTGTTTACGGTCAACACCCAGGACAAAGAAGGTTAACTCTGAGGTGGAAGAGCATCTCCCTAGGAAACCGGTAAAACCTTTAAGAATTCAGGAGTCAAACCTCAGCTTCTGTACAGGAATCTGAAAGGATGGAGGACCGCTGTGGGGAGAGGTGAATATGTGGAGGCAGGGGAATTCAAAGAAAACCAGGATGATTGCTGGATATGTTATACAAGGAAGGCACCAAAGAAATTGCTTTCTACAGGAATAAGAAGAGGTAGAAAAGAAAAAGCTGGGCTCTGGGAGTGGCCCTCATGGATCATTACAGGAGATCCCCTGGCCCCCATGAGGAACCACAGGCCCTGCTTACCTTTATATGTTTTGCAAATAATTTCATAACTTTGCTGTCTCCTTTGAATGCAGTCATCGACCTAATGAAAAAGAATAGATAGATGCTTGAGAAAGCTCATTCCAGGCAAGTTGACCACTTAAGTATTACATTTTGCTGTATTGAAAAGGATGTGTTTCATATATGTGTGTATATATGTGTATGTGCATGCGTGTGCATGCATACACATTTTTGGGATTTTCAGGTTAGCCCATCTCTGGAATGAAAGTGGGGTGGCCTTTATTCAGGCATGTAATGGGTTGGCCTCTAACATTTATACACAAGGTTAACTTCCTTGATTATCAAAACATATGCATTTGCCCTTCACTCGTAATACAGAATTTTTGTATTTCAGGTCCCTGGCATAGACTAGTCTTCAAACTGCAGTGTAGTTCTCATAAAATTCTGCAGCACAATTCTCATTTGGTTGTGAGAACTATCTTAGGTGCTGTCCGCCTGAGCTCTGTGGAGCCCAAGAGCATCTATCTACAAAGGCCTGCCTGTGGCTGCTGTGAGGGGGTTCTGGGGGGTGAGCCGACAGGGAGGAAGAGGGTTTATACCCTTCTTCCATCAGAGCAGCCTCACTTTGATCTACTTTGCAGAGTCTTTCTCTGTAAAATTTTATATATGGAAAGGCTTCTGCCAAAAAAAACAGGAAGGAAGGGAGGAAGAAAATAAGGAAGGAAGAAAGAAGGAAAGAAAACCTTTGTCACCAAAAAAAAAAGCAAACCCATTGCTGTTGAGTAGATTCTGACTCATAGTGACCCTATAGGACAGAGCAGAACTGCTCTACAGGGTTTCCAAGGAACGGCTGGTGGATTCGAATTGCCAACCTTTTGGATAGCAGCCATTCTCTGCTAACATTGCTCCACCAGGGCTCCAGAGGACTGCCCAAATCAGAGATATCCAAGTAGGTGGGTAGCATAAGTGAGCCAGGTGATCTGGGAGGCAAGAGGTGCGGACTGAGGAGAATTAGAGAGTATGTGCCCTGTTAAAGGGGCCAACCTATGCTCAGTTTAGCCAGTTACTATGATGTGAGATTATGGGACCAGTGTTACAAGACCTTGTGATTTTTTGAGAAGCCCCAAATCTAGATTTTCATATGCAAAATCTGATTTTAAACAGGAACAATTCATTCAAATGTTTTAGACACAAAATACTTGGGTCAATTTAGCCCTTGGACTGTTGATTTACAGCCTCTGGCTTACAGGACAGGCATTCCATTTGGTTTCTAGGTATTCAAAATCCTGGATCTATCTAGGTGAATCCAGAATGTCAGCTCCGTGGGTCAAGATCATGCTGGCTGGTGCCTTACACTATTGCCTTTACCAGCTCAGCTTTGGCAGCAGGCCCCCAGCCCAAAGCGAGGAAAGCTCTACATGTGGGCATACCACACCAACTGTCTATTGTTTTATTGCAGGGATGACCTTGAGGATGCTGCCATTATGTATGTCACAGAGGGAAAAACCATGCTTCTCAGGGGAACCGTTTTTTAAATCCCAGGGAATATCACAAATCTGGCAACTGATGATGTTTCCCAACTTGGCCTGGCTGCTGGGAAGTACAGGGGGGCCACCTCTGCAGGTGACCAGGGCATAAGATAAGTGATCTTGACCACCGATTCTAGCTGGGCCCACTTCATTTTCTGATCTTTAGTTTTCTTCGCTTCCATTTTCACCACCCTTTTTGCTTTTAATTGTGCTTTAAGTGAAAGTTTACAGAGCAAATTCATTTCTCATTGAACAATTAATACACAAATTGTTTTGTGACATTGGTTGCCAACCCCGTGATGTGTCAACACTCTCACCTTCTCAACCTCGGGTTCCCCACTTCCATTTGTCCAGTTTTCCTGTCCCTTCCTGCCTTTTTATCTTTCCTTTTGGGCTGGTGTGCCCATTTACTCTGGTATGCCCATTTAATCTCATATACATAGTTGACCTACATGTGTTATTGTTTGTTTTATAGGCCATCTAATCTTTGGCTGAAGAGTGAACTTCAGAAGTGACTTCAGTACTGAGTTAAAAGAGTGACTAGGGGCCATACTCTGTCTTCACCACCTATTTTATATTTATCATATGTACTTCGATGTATCACCTCAATATTGTTTTGAGATGAAATACGTATAAGTGAACAAATAAATAATATCTTTGTAATTGATGTTTGGGGATAGATCTAACATAAGAATATTGCCTGGAAATACTATTTTCCTTTATTATTATTATTATTACGTTTCGAGCAATATCATTGATCAGTAGGAATATATGAGTTTGCGAAATAGTTAATCGCGCTATACAAGTTTAATTGAACTAGAGTTTTTACTTACAAATGAGCTTTCTCCATGGCAAGGTCAACTAGAAAGACAATTTAGGGGACATATTTAACATAACTCTGGTTCTCAGGAGAACAAATGTTCTTACAAAGGTTAGAATTATTCAGCATCGATGTTTATGAATAGGGCTCATTATGCCTGCTCCAAAGGCCATCCCCCTTTTGCAAATCACCTAACCTTGAAATGCATCATAATATTACTGGAGACATAGAAAAATACTGAAAATCAGCAAATGAAGTGTGGTAACATGGTACTTTTATGCCCCTCAAAAGGAATTTATGTACAGTAAAAGTGGAAATCAATTTGACAACTTGTTTTTAAGAGGCCACCTCCAGTGCAGCCTCTTTGCCATTAGCTCTTGAGTCTGAAAGGACTTCTTTGGTGATACTTTTTTTTTGAACATTTTATTGTGGTTTAGGTAAAAATTTTACAGAGCAAATTAGTTTTCCATTCAACCATTTAAACACAATTGTTTTGTGACATTGGTTACAATTCCCTCAACATGTCAGCACTCTGCCCCCCTTCCTCTCTGGGTTTCCCATCTCCATTCGCCCAGCTTTCCTAACCCTTCCTGTCTTCTGAATGTTGCTTTTGGGCACGTGCTGCCCTTTGGGTCTCGTATGGTTGATTGCTCTGAGGTGCACATTCCTCACAGATTATTTTGTTCACTTTATAGGCCTGTCTATTGTTTGGGTGAAAGGTGATCTCCGGAGGTGTTCCTTTCCAAGTCTGAAGGATGCCATAGTCTCGCAGGTTTCACTAGTCGCTATCAGACCAGTAAGTCTGGTCTTTTTTGTGAATTTGAATTTTGTTCTACATTTGTGGTTGTCTTAGTCATCTAGTGCTGCTATAATAGAAATATCAAAAGTGGATGACTTTAACAAAGAGAAGTTTAACCTCTCACAGTCCAGTAGGCTACAGGTTCAAATTCAGGACATCAGCTCCAGGAGAAGGCTTTCTCTCTGTTGGCTCTGGAGGAAGGTCCTTGTGATGCATCAGTCTTCCCTTTGTCTGGGAGCATCTTGGCGCAGTAACCTCAGGTCCAAAGGACGCACTCTGCTCCTGGCACTGCTTTCTTGATGGTATGAGGTTCCCACGTATCTCTGCTTACTTCTCTCATTTATATCTTAAAAGGGATTGGCTTAAGACACCATCTAATCTTGTAGACCTCATCAGTATACCTGCCACTAATCCACCTTATTACATCATAGTGATAGAGTTTACAACACATAAGGAAATCACATCAGATTACAAAACAGTACACAATCACACAATACTGGGAATCATGAACCAGCCAAGTTGACAGATATTTTTGGGAGACACAATTTAATCCATGACAGTGGTGGTACTTTTTAAAGCACTGAAAAGTCAGGGTGAACTATAATTTTAGGACCAGAAGCATTTGGGATCTTGAAGATCAGTTATGGTTGGAGCAGAAGTAGTTGAAAGGAACACTTTTGTTTTACTGGGAGGGTGTGGGATATAATTCATTGTGTGTGCCTAGGTGGGGAAAGGAGTTTGGAAGCATTACTAATAAAGATTAATGTCTACTTTCCTAAATTCATAACTTGATTTTCATTTAGGAAGATAGATGTTAATTAAGTACAGAGCCTCTACATTTCCACCTGAGTCTATTTCATCACATTCCTTATTTTTCCTGACTTGGATTTCCCTTTGTTTATTTTTCTCTGGAAGCCTGGTCCAGAGCCTGGCTCCTGGAGAGGGCTGGTCCCAGTCAATCCCATCTTACTCTGATGGCTTTTCTCTGAAAGCTAAATGTTAGCACATATCCAGGGGAAGACTTCTTGTTTATTCAACCAAAACTAAAGTAAATGAAGAGGTATATGAAAGCACTTAGTAAAGCACTGCCAAATTATCTTTAAAACATAATTGTTACATTTAGATCTTTGGTCTATCTGGAATTCATTTTGGTTTAAGAAGTGAGATATGGATCCAACTTTATTTTTCCAAATGGCCACCCAATTGTTCTAACACCATTCATTAAATAATCCATCTTTCTCTACTGATTTGTCACCTTAGTCATTTGCAGCATTTTCATATGCATCTGTATCTACTTTTTTTGTTTATTGTTGTAGTTTAAGTGAAAGTTTACATTTCAAGTTAGTTTCTCATACAAAAATTTATACGTACATTGTTATGTGACCCTAATTGCTTTCCGTATACTGTGACAGCACACTCCTCCTTTCCACTCCTGATTTTCCACGTCCATTCAGCCAGCTCCTGACCCTCTCTGCCTTCTCATCTCACCTCCAGACAGAAGCTGCCCATTTAGTCTCACATGTCTACTTGAGCGAAGAAGCACACTCTTCACGAGTATCATTTTATGTCCCACAGTCCAGTCCAATCTTTGTCTGAAGAGTAGGCCTCAGAAATGGTTTTAGTTCTGGGCTGATAGAAGAGTCTGGAAGCCATGCTTTCTGGGGTTCCTCTGGTCTCAGTCAGACCATTAAGTCTGGTCTTCTTACTAGAACTTGAGTTCTGCACCCTACCTTTCTCCTGCTCCATCAGGGACTCTCTATTGTGTTCCCTGTCAGGGCAGTCAGCTGGGCACCATCTAGTTCTTCTGGTCTCAGGCTGATGGAGTCTCTGGTTTATGTGGCCCTTTCTGTCTCTTGGGCTAATACTTTCCTTGTGTCTATGGTGTTCTTCATTCTCCTGTATCTACTTTTGAACTTTCATTTCTGTTCTACTGTCTGTCATACATGTGTCAGTTCCATACTATTTCAATTATTAAGACTTCATAATGTTTTTGTTTTGCTTTTAGTAATCTAATCCTCTGGTTAGTATTCTTTTTCAGAATTTCCCTGGCTATTTTTTCTGATGTATTTTTCCATATGAATTTAAAATTAGTTTATCTAGTTTGAAAAAAATTCTACTGGAATTTTATTGAGAATCTGTGATTTTGTAGATTATCCTAGAGAAAACTGACATCTTCACAATGTGGAGTCTTCCATTCAAGAATATGGTATGACTTTTTGTTTAAGATTTTCTACGTTCCTCATATGATGTTTTCTTTAGATAGATTTTGTTAAGTTTATTTCTTGGTATTTTATCCTTTCTTGTTACTATTTTAAATCGGATCATGTCTGTTTGGCACATACCTACTACTCAGAAAACATTTATTTTTTCTTCTAACTGGTTGCTGCTGATACAATCCCCAGCTTTTTACCTTTGTCTCCCATGGCTTGTTCTTTACACAGCTGCCAAAGCGATCCTTTAAACTATTATTCAGATCATGTGATTGCTCTGCTCAAATCCTCCAATGGCAGCCCACTGCAGGGCCTTTTGCACCTACTGTCCCCTCTGCCTGGAATGTGCTTCTGCCAGATATCTGCTTGGCTCTCCTTCTCTCTGCTCTAATGTCATGGAGAAGAGAAACTTTCCATGACCATCCTTTTTAAAAATAGCCCCATCCCCTTCTATTCCTTTGACATGCTTTATTTTTTTCTTTACATAACATTATAATATATGTTTACTTTTTTTTTGGCTGTCTCTCCAACTGGAATGTAAGCTCCATGAGGGCAGGGGACTATCTGGTCCATTCGTTGCTACACCTCCAGCACATAGAACATATCAGTTTGGCACCTATCAGTTACTCAGAAAACATTTACAAATAGAACAGGTAAAGCTTCCTACCTAATGAGCTCCAGGGCTCGGATCGCAGAGCTGCAGATAATCAGCATCAGGACCGATTTCTTCTCACTGTGGTTTTTCCGAAGCTTTGCCCACTTAGGACAGACTGGAAAAAAGACCACACATGTAAAAAATTACCCTAAATATAGCAAAATAGAGTCCTCAAAGTTGAGTATTCTCTAAGCAAAAAAAAAAAGTATCATTTAGATTCTATTCTCTGGTTGTACTAAATATTAGATTAAAATGAAATATCATTAATCTGCAACACATATTTACACCAAGTAGCTAAATGTGATTAGTTTTAGGATTAAGTAAAAAAGTTTGGAATAATTCATTCTTATATTTTAATTTATGTTTGAAGCTTGAAGGCAATGTTGATTACATGGGGAAAAAACTCTGGTTCAATAATATTAAACGTTAAATGGACACTCAGAATAAGATATAAAATGGAACAGACATTTAAATAATAGCAAACATTAAACACTGACATTATGCTAAGCATTTTACATGCATTACCTTTTCTAGTCCTCATAATCCTGTGAGGTTGATTCTATTATTATTTACATTTACATTTGTTGAATTTGAGGCTGAGAAATATTAAGTGACAAGGGCCCCCAGCTTGTAAGTGGTGGAACTGAGATACGAACTCAAATTGGATGTTGTTTGAATTGCATAGAGTTTGAAATAAAAATGTTAAATTTATATATTTAAACTATAATCTAGTTATAAATAATCTAGTTATTCCTGGCTACACTAATAACTAATATGTATTGGAAAAAATCAAATTGATTGAGCACACAGTAGCCATCGCCTGAGTTCTGAGTATGTGAATAGAATTTCAGAATATCACAACAGGAATAAAGATCACATGGTCCAGCTTCCTAATCTCTCAGATAAAATCAAGCCCCAGGGGAGTACTCAGTGACTTGTCCTAGGTCAAACAGCCGATCAGTGGGGGTCCTGCAACTAGAACATTGTTCTCTGGATTCCTAGACCAATGCTTCTCGTGTGTCAAAACAAAAAATGAGACCAAAGACCAAATTCCCAAACCCAGTGCAAAATCAGAGTAAATTTATACAGATAAAAATTAATATCAAGATGACCTAAAAAAGCCTCCATTTAGAATCCATTTCAAATGGAAACTTTTGATTTTAAATGTAGTTTTCAAATATTTGTTTCAAAGAGACATCTTATTTTTTAATAGGATAATAACAACTTGGAGAATAATTTTTAAAAATCAGTGTTTACTTACTTTCTTTCAGGTAGGATGAAAGACTGTGAGTCAAGTCATTGGCTTTGAGGAAACAGGAATCTAGAAAAATGAGAAACATATTTTGTTAAGAATTTTGCAAACACACGAACAATCAAAATAGATTACATGTGAATAATGTATTCTTGGTCAAGTTTTAAAAATATTAGTGAAATGGGGGCTCATTATATATTTTGAAGTATTGTCTAGTATTTTAAAATAAACTTACAGCCCTCCACTGAGCGGCCTATAATTTCTTAGAGTAGTGAAACAGAAGCTTGTTGTATCATTCAGTGGACTAATGATATGTCTTTATTTTTCAAAACCATGGAGTAGGCAACATACAAAGGCAAAGGTTAAATCTTTGAAACAAATCTGCGAAGACATGCTAAAACTCACTAGTCATCACAGAAATGCAAATTAACAGAGCTATGAGACACACTTTACACACTCATTAGAATGGACATTAGAAAGATGATTAATATCAACTGCTGTTGAGAATGGAGGGTGGTGGGAACTCCTGTGAACTGCAGGTGGAAGCATAAACTGGCATAACTATTCTGGAAACTATTTAGTAAAATTACAATGTATATACCCTATGACCTAGTAATTTCATTCCTGAGTAAATAATGCAAAGAAATTCTTATGTGGTCTGTAAATGGTCACACACAAGCGTATTCATCCTGGCATGGTTTGTGACTGAGGAGCTGGATGCAACCTAGGTGTCCAGATCTGGGAAAATGGATAAGCAATATGTGGTGGGTGAAAATACTGAATATTATGTAGCCTGTAGAAGCAATGAACTAGATGTATAAAAAGCCATGTGGACATATCTTTAAAAAAGTGTTAAGTGAGGAAAGAAACAGAATGAGAGGTTCAGCACAAATCATTTAGATAAATTTAAAACATACACATACAACGACATCAAATATTTTATAAGGATACATACATATTTTAAAACATATATCAACTAACTAGATAGTAGATAAGAATCATCTTAGGCGAAGGGAAGGACAGCACACACTACAGGGGAAGTCAGCACAACCAGACTAAACCAAAGCTAAGAAGTTTCCTGAATACAATCAAATACTTTGAGAGACAGAGTAGCAGGGGTAGGGGTCTAGGGACCATGCTTTCAGGGGACATCTAGGTCAACTGGCATAACAAAGCTTATTAAGAAAATGTTCTGCATCCTAGTTTGGTGAGTGGCATCTGAGGTCTTAAAAGCTTGCAAGCAACCATCTAAGCGGCATCAATTGGTCCCAATCACCTGGAGTAAAGGAGAATGAAGATCACCAAAGACACAAGGAAAGTATTAGCCCAAGAGACAGAATGGGCCACATCAACCAGAGACTTCATCAGCCTGAGACCAGAAGAACTAGATGGTGCCCGGCTACCACCAATGAACGTCCTGACAGGGAACACAACAGGGAGTCCCTAATGGAGCAGTAAAAGGAAGGGGTGCAGAACTCAAATTCTAGTAAGAAGACCAGACTTAATGGTCTGACTGAGACTGGAGGCGCCCCGGAAAGCATGGCCCCTGGACTCTCTATCAGCCCAGAACTAAAACCATTTCCGAGGCCAACTCTTCAGACAGGGATTGGACTGGACTGTGGGACATAAAGTGAATACTCGTGAGGCGTGTGCCTCTTAGCTCAAGTAGATACAAGAGACCAAAGGGGCAGCTTCTGTCCAGAGGTGAGATGGGAAGGCAGAGAGAGTTAGGACCTGGTTGAATGGTCATGGGGAATCAGGGGTGGAAAGGAGGAGTGTGCTGTCGCAGAATGGGGTGAGCAATTAGGATCTCATAACAATGTATGTATAAAAATTTTTTATGGGAGACTAACTTGAAACGTAAACTTCATTTAATTACAACAATAAAAAAAAAATCCATATATCAATACACTAGAGTTAATGCCCATGGGGGAAGGAAAATGGGAGTATGGAGTGAGGAAGAATGAGAATAACACAACAAAACACAACACCACATAATACATTCCAATAAAGCATAGGGGCCTTCCCCGACCAGTGATGATCATGGCCTAGCAACTACGTGGTATGATTAACTCGGTATCTGAGATGTCAAAACAAAAGCAGCATCATGTTTATCATCCTAACTCTTTCTTCAAGAAATAGTGTATCTATAAATACAGCAGAGTGCTAGGCAGTAAACTATTACTAAATTAAATGAAATTCATATTGTGACCCAGCACATACAACTCACAAGGTGTAACTTCAAAGGTGTTGCTGTCTATACTTTGTGGAGCCTTTGAGAGACTTTAAGACTGTAATTTACCAAATCTGGATATAATCAGAATAACCTGGAGCACTTTTCAAAAGCTACAGATTCCTGAGATGGACTACCTTTTCAGTAGCGAGTCAGAATCCCTTGGGGTGGGCCGGGAATCTGTTTTTTTAAGAAGCTCCTTGGTGATTTGGTTGCAGCTAGCCTATAGGCATTTAGGAATCACTGATCAAAACCACATTCCAGCTTCTCAGGAGGACAGCTGAGAGTCTAATTGGCCCCCAGCAACTTCTGCCTTGAAACCCTAATTAAGTGCCCATATGTATGACATGAACGCTGTACAGTGCACAATATTAATTGAAAAGACATGGTCCTGCCCTAAAGACACAAACAACCTCAAACAAAAACCAAGTTAGACGCTTAGCAAACTAACTAGGCGCGATATTTTATTACTTATATCCACCTTTTATTTATGTCCCTTCCTGAGCCTGTTTCAAACAACCAGTGGAATCTTCCTCCCCTCAGCTAGCACGGAACTTTCTCTCTGTCCTCAGCCTCATCAGTGTAGTGACAGGGCCTTTTCTCCTAAACCTTCCTAGGATATCTCAGAATGGCCTAATTTTCTAACTGGAAAAGCTTGCCTATATTTTTTGGCTATGAGTATTTCCAACATAATTTTCTTCCTCCCTACACCAACTCATGACCACACCGTTCTTGCCTACTGAACTCTAATACAACAATAACATAACACAGACACACTATGGAACTAAAATGACCTCCTAAAAATTTCTTCTGACATTTTACTTTCTACAGTTCTAGAGAGAATAGGGGTTGATGATATTCCATGAGATTACAGAGTAGTAGTGGTGCCTGGTGGCACAAATGGTTAAGTGCTCGACTATTAGCCAAAAGGTTGGTGGTTGGAACCCACCCAGAGACACCTCAGAAGACAGGCTCCGCCATCTGTGAAAGGTCACAGCCTTGAAAATTCTATGGAGCAGTTCTACTCTGCACACATAGAGTGGTCCCATTACCTCACAAATTCTTGTTAACTTGAAAGTATAGTCTTACAAAGAATTAGAAGGCAAAACTGACCATTGAATCACAGTAAAACCCAAACTTCAGTTAAAGTTGGGAAGAGGTTTTGTTATTACACTTGATTCCTGCCATAGAATAGTTAGAACAGAGCGCTCTGCCAGAGGAACGGCATGCTGAGAGGGGTGGTTTGTAGGGGCTGTTGGAGCCGTCTGGACTCAGTCTAAAACCCCAGATCTTGCTCATGTAGAAACGCACTCCTTCAATTCCCTAAAGGGTATTCTTTTTGGAAAAGAAACAGACAAAGGCACTCGTGTCTCCAAATCCGGTACTTGTTTTTTAAAAAAAGCACATCACAAAGGAATTATAAAAATTCAGGGAACAGATTGTTTGTCAGCTTCTCAGGCTTCTAGAAAGCATAAAGTTGTAATGGAAAAGGAAATTAAGCTACCCTTGACTTTTTCTAAAGCAGGATGAGATAGCCCTAGCAATCTATAAATGGCTCATCTAAAGCAGTGGTACCCAAACTTTCTGTGGTTTCATTTCATGGCAACATCTCTTTTCTTCCATCCTTGCCCAAAAGGACTGACAGGATGTATCATAATTAATGAAAATTAGTAGTTTTAAGAATTTTGCTATATTCTTTAGCTTAATTATACATACTCGAAGGTAGTGGTTCTCAAACTCTAGCAGGCTTAAGAATTGCCTGGGGAAGGTGGCAGCCTTGCTAACAAGGCAGAATTTTGTCCCTACATTTAGAGAGCCTGCATGAAAAAGACTAGGCTGGGACCAGAAACACTGCCCTAGGAACAAAACCATGACTAGAAATCATGGTTAAAAACAACAACAGTAAGGACAACAACAAAACTAAGATGCTTATTAAGGCTGAAGTCTTGTCCATAAAGGATGAGTAAATCAATGTTTCATAGCTATACTTTTAAATGTGTGCTTTGTCTTTATTTTCACTTGACTTCTGTCCCCATGAGGGATTCTATTAGGTTGGGGAAAGGAGTATTAGCACATGGAAAATGTATTAATTTATTGGCTGAGACACATAACCATAACAAATAGTAAAGATGAACCTGTTTCGATCCTTATCATCAGGAAAATTGCTAGCAATTAACACTAGGTCCTCTAGATGACTAATCTCAGAATAGTTGGAGTTGGAGGGCAGAAGAAGCCTGGTCCTACCTGGTAGGTTCAGTTCTTCTAATTCAATCACTGAGCGATTGCTGCTATAATAGTCCTTCATCAGCTTCTGTAGGTTTTCAGGTGTCCCTGGTTTTCGTTCTGATTTTGCAAGAACATCAGTAATTTTCTTCTAAGACATGAGAAGGAAGAAAAATGGGAAGATAGGTTTTAGAATGGGATTTGGCTTAGGATAGGTTGATTTAACTGCTTTCAGTAATAGTCGAGTGTGAATATGAATTCTAAAAAATATACTTGAGAAAATGTAATGAATATTTCCTGGACATAACCAAGCTTTGAAAAATGAACAGAGGACCTACAGGCTTTTTGTAACTCTTGGTTCTATGACTTCTGGGAGAACTGAAATTCTTGTAGGAGTCTCTATAATAGGATATTGTTTTCTATTAAAAGTCAAGAAATCTTGTTGATACCAAAAACTTTCTCTAAGGTCTCCTTAAGGCCTAGATGATTTGTATTTCTGCGAAAGTGAATTTTGAGAATTTCTTGCCCAATCTGGTTTTTGAGGGGCTGAGTCTCAGTCTGGATTTCTGGGATTAAAGTTTGCAGGAGTGAGCATAGGAACCCACTGAAAAGAGGCCTTAGACCCTCGTTTCTCAAGCCTTGGGAGACAGATAGTCTTAAACTGGTCTATGGAAGGTAGAACAGATACTACAGGAAATAATTTCCAACATCTATTTTAATTTTGACTCATTTGTGTAGCACTTATTGAATGCCTGCAATGTAGGCATATACAATCATTCGTTTAATTTTCAACAAAAACTTCCCTTCTCAGTTCCTTCTAATGTTTCACCAAAGATACAGAAGGAGCCATTCTCCCCTCCCCACCCCCAGCGTTTTTCCCTCCTTCTACAGTATCCTCATTTCTACACCTCCACCAAGAACAGTCAAGGTCTGTTGAATGAATTAACTTTTAAAAATATGTCACCAGTGGGCACATTTTGGCGTGACCTCAGCCAATGCTAAACTATCTAGCAGGAGTTCTGACCTTGAGCTACTAAGAAGTTAACACTCCTGAAGGCCATTAGTGTAAAAACTATCAAAGAGAAGTTAAAAGTTACTTCTTTAAGGACTTGCCAAACCTCAGCCAATTTGGCATCTCTCATCTTCCTATCTGGCCATTTGCGAGAAAAGAAAACATGCATACATACTCTTAGTTTTCTAAAAGCTCGCTGTTAAGTAATTGGGTTGAGTCCATCTTCTTTCCTCTTAATCCCAATCATATTTCCTCTGCTGACTTCAGCAGTCGACCCTTCTTGGCAGGGAGAGAATTACACTGCTGTTTTCACAACTGTGGTGGAAGGGCAAAGCTAATCATTCTTTCTCCAAGGCTAAGATGTAACAAAGTTTATATAGGAGCAACACAGTCTTCCTTATGCTCCCAGCAAGTATTAAAAGGGAAAGGGAGCTTTTTGTCTTAAATTATAATTTCAAATTACAGTCAGAAATGCCTTATGCTTATACTACCTTTATCTGCTTATTATATTCTTTTCATTATTACTTGAATGTATAAGGTCTTAAAGACTGGAATGGGTAGGAAAGGAAGGTTGGTAAATTTCTTTTCTTGGAAATCTAATCCATAATGGTTGCACTCCATCTCATCCAGAGTCAGAGGGGTCAACGGGTAGGATAGCTGTGGGCCCGTTCTAGAATTAGAAACCTATGTCTGATTTTTAACCACAGTGAGAACTCAGGGTGGATAACACAGATGTTTGGTGCTCCACAAGACTGAAATAGGAGTCAGAAAAAAATTATTTTCAGCTCCAGCAGACACACTTATTGCTAGTGACTTTAGGAAAGTCACCAAACATTGATGAACCTTACAATTTCTGCATCTCTAAAGTGAAGATTAGAAAAATTGTCTTATCAAAACAACATATACACGTGATAAAAATCACATGGGGCCACACTTTTTAAGAAATTATTAATATTACCTTTTTCCTCCTCCTGGTCTTCGTGGCCTCCTCTTTTGTTTCCTTTGGTTGTATCAGGAAACATTCTTTAGGCTATAAGGAAATACAAATAAGAAAACTTCCATCTGAGTGTGATGAGATGTCAATGAATGGTATAAATCCCGTGCCTTTTGCCATGCATGTATTCTTCAGATCCGTTGGTAACATCTGTAGACAAAGAGATGCTGAGATACCCGTTGTAGATTACGTAGGAGCTGGGCTGAGAGAACGTCAGGAAGTCAGAAAGACTGAAAAATCTTGAACAAAGGTCTAAATGTGTGAGTGAGTGAGTGTGTATGTGCATTTGGGGTAGTAGTACAGGATATTCAAGATTGAAGACAGTGGCCAGGTTTATAAAATACAGGCAGAAATAGATGTGATTAAGAATTAAGATGTGGTAACACAGTGACTAGAGTGACCAGGGTTTTCCATGAATTAGCTACACGTGAGTCTGCATTTCATGTCAGTGGTGTTTTTATTTTATATTATCCATTCTTTTCCTCTTTTCTATAAGCATAGAAAATCTAAAGTAGGATATATTTACTTATATTTTTGTAAAACCAGCCTCATCTATAGTGCCTACAAAGTGAATGTTTTTGCTAATGGTCTCAGTCCATGGCCCAGAATAATCTGTTTTGCCTGTTGCCTTGACCCTGAGTACCCTATATAGTTTAGTGCTATTTTTACCCTGTGGAAGTTTTTGTTTTATGCAGAAAAACAGGAAATTTGGACTAAGACCTTGATTTATCAAATAGAATGCCTCAGATTCCATAGTTATTAATCATAAGCAGGAATATAAAATGTTTCCTGTGCTGGACCTTTTATGCAACATCTTCAAACAAGTTGCCAAGTAAGATATAAAATGTAAAGTGAAAACATTCTGAGTTTTCCCTTGATTCAGTTTCCACTCCAGCTAGAGAGGATTCAGTTTAAACTGGTGAACTACTAACCAAAGCAATCTCATCTCCACTGGCTCTGTTTACAACGATTACAGATGAATCTTTCTACTCAAGCTTGCAGACAGCCTGTAGATTCAGAATGACTATGGCCTGAAGCCAGAGAGATACATAATGCAACATAATTTCTTCAAGACCTGGGGCCAAGATCAGTAGTTTCTAGACTCTGTTTCTGTTAGAAGAGAAGTAGATTCTAAAGGTTCAGGATTAAAGTGACATGGGAATCTTGAAATTTTAGGCTCTTCTCAGTTAAAACAAACCTGCAAAGAGCTATTACATTATAGCTAAATAAAAGATATTATGACTTTATTTCTTATTTAGAAAGTTAAGCTGCCTTTTGGATTTGGATATGCCAATTTGATACTGGTACGTGCCAGTTAGGAACTGGGCCAAGGCCACTAATATGTCACAGAAGCTGCCAGATAGTCATAAGAGTCCAATGACAAATAAGGCCAACATTCAGCTGTAGCTCCTAAGGCAAAGGCCTGGATACAATTAGTAGATCCCCTAAGAGAAACTGCAGTATCTCATCATCAGTATCAAGGTCTTAGGAAGCAGACTTAAAAAACCTGTTCTATTATTTAGCAAGTTGGGTTGCTCTCTAGGAGTATGTTCAACTTGCTGGGTTATATTTATGTTACGTTTACAAGCCAATGAACTCAAACACACAAATTAAATCTGGAAATGAGCTCAGTTATAAGGACATGAACTCTCCAATTCTAGAAGAAAAATAAAAATGCATATCTGAATCATATACAAGAAAAAAGAAACTTGCTTGATGAACTGCTTTAGTCAAGATATTGCATCAGGTTTAAATGTTAGGTTCAAATTCTTAGATCATCCTAATGGAACCAGTTAACTCATCTGGTTGGGGTAGGGCACTAATGAAGAAGCCAAGTTCATGGGGCCAATTCCATAGAGGTAAGGTGACATTATGGAGAAATCCAAATCCACAGCATTGAATATTCCTGAACTTAGCTGCCTTATGAATGCTGATGATTACCCTCAGAGAGACTGGGTAAGAAGATGTAGATGACTCAACTCAGGCCACAAAGAATTTCTAGAAACCAATTCCAATGGTATGTAACTTTGACAGGTGACAAGTAATGTCTTCTTTTTATGTGGAATGCAGCAATTTTAAGTATACTGTCTGAAGAATCACATTTTCCCGAACATATACCGAAAAATACAGCTTCCAAATGAAGTGATTGGGGCAAGTTCTCAATTCTTTAAAGTGTCAAAAACTATGTCTCTTAAGAATGATTCCCCTGGTTAAACATGGCAAATCAATCTCAAAAACCCCACTAAACTGAACATAAAGAAAACTGAAAAGGTATGACCCTAGAAGGACCAAGAAACCAAGAAAGAGGACAAGGGTAGTGGAGGGATTTCAACAACTTTGTGGAAAATGAAAAATGCTTACAAGTGGGTGACTTAACAGAGAGAGAAAGCTAGCACCTGGGTTTTTGGAAAGGTAGAAGCTAATAATGAGTGAGTCTGTTTGACCTGCTAGACTCTGAAAAGGTTCAGTACTTGGAGGCACAGTGTACTACAGACAGTGAAGGGCTGAAAAGAAAGAGATTGGCTGAAAGTTTATATTTATAGTAATTTGCCCCCCCCCCCCCCACAACTGGACTGTATCTCCTGCCCAGGCAGTCAGGCAACTATCCCATTACTGCTTCCTCTCACCTTCCTCTCAGCAGCAAACTGAAGGTTTATTCTCTGGGGATACTAAGAGGACCAAGAGGACCAAGAAATCTGGCACAGTGGAGATAGGGCAGAGAGAAGCTCATCTCCATTTCCTCCCCTTGTTCCAGAATGTCTGGAGCCAGACTTATATATTGTAGGCAGGAGACTAGTGAATTCTTTTCTGGAAAAATAGACTGGTCAAAGATAAATACCACAAGAGAGTGAAATTCGGAGGTCCCATAGTAAAAATCCAGCTTGTTATCCAATCACCCTCCCATGAAGTCCACTAATTAACAAGCCCCACTCATGCACAAAATTTTTCCAACAACTTTTCAGTGTATCTCCAAAATGAAAAGACATCTAAGGCTCATCAGACATCTAAGGAAAGCCTCAAACACGAGAGAAAAAATTTAGGGCAAGCAAACAAACAAACCAACCAAAAAAAAAAAAAAAAAAAAAAAAAAAAAAAAAAAAAAAAAAAAAAAAAAAGAAAAGAAAGAAAAAAGAAACTTGAGAAAAGAGGGAAAGTACTTCAAACAAATTATGATTAATATTCTCAGAGAGATAACGAAAGATTTTGCAGCCATGAAACAGGAACAAGATGCTATAAAAAAGGAACGAGAAAACATTTTTAATTACCTTTTCAATTTCTTCTTTTTTTATAGGTTTATTCAGTTTTTCTACCTCTGTTTGTGTTAGTTTAGGTAGGTAGTGTGTTTCTAGAAATTTGTCCATTTCCTCTAGGTTTTCAAATATGTTAGAGTATAATTTTTCATAGTATTCTGTTGTGATTCTTTTAATTTCAGTTGGTTCTGCTGTGATATTGCCCATCTCATTTCTTTTTTGGGTTATTTGCTTCCTCTCCTGTTTCTTTTTTGTCAGTTTGGCCAATGGTTTATCAATTTTATTGATCTTTTCAAAGAACCAGCTTTTGGTCTTGTTAACTCAATTGTTTTTGTATTTTTTATTTCATTTAATTCTGCTCTAATTTTTATTATTTGCTTTCTTCTGGTGTTCAAGGGCTTCTTTTGCTGTTCTCTTTCTACTTGTTCAAGTTGTAGGGTTAATGTTTTGATTTTGGCCCTTTCTTCTTTTTGGATGTGTGCATTTATTGTTATAAACTGACCTCTGAGCACTGCTTTTGCTGTGTCCCAAAGGTTCTGGTAGGATGTGTTTTCATTCTCGTTTGATTCTATAAATTCCTTTAT